GTACCCTATACATTTGTGACAAATTTAAAAAACAAAGTGGGGTGTTGGATAGAGAGTGTCTAAATGTAGCTATTTTAGAACTGATGGAGGAAGGCCTTTAAGATTAGTCATAGCAGGGATGGGTGCATTTCAGGCAGAAGTAAAGGGTAGGCTAAAAGCCTAAACAAGGAAAGGTAAGGGCAAGCAGAAAGTTGAACCAACTAGGAATGACTAGATCATTTCCCATGAAGTTCATTATTAATAAAACTTATATAAAGAATAAAAGAGGATATGTTGTCATTTTGAACACATTATTGAATTGGATGTCATGTGGTATGAATGTAATATGGGAGTGACACATTTAGGAAATATTTAGAACTTAGAGATTTTACACATTAGTTTCACCCCGCACCCGAAAAAAAAAAAAAAAAAAGGACAAAACACCTAAAGAGAGAAGAGAGCTTTGGTGTTTAGGGATTGAAGTAGCCAGGAAAACAAATGTGTTGGGTGCTGTGTTACAGTTTTTGCACACTTAATGCCAAACCTTACAAAGCAGGTAATATTAATCACATTTTACAGAGGCACACCTGAAGCTCAAGAAGTCAAACATCTAGGAAATAATACATTCAAACCTAAACTCACCTATTTCCAAAACCACTTCCCTACCCAAATAGGCCTTTTGTCTCTGAAATTGCCCTTCAGACTATATTTTTCTAAGACCTTCATTCTCCTCTGTGTTGTAGTGACAAGTTTTGAGCTGAAGGCAGATTTCAACTCAGCCTCATTCTTCCTGACTCTCAGTTAAGCAATTCTTTCCTATACAGTTAACTTTTCAGCACAGCTTTCAATGATGGGTCTTAGTGAGCAGTAGGCTATTAATGATGCATGTGCTTCCTGTGGAGACTGGTTCCAGGAGAAGAGGAGCACCTGATTGTTTTCAGTGCCACACAACAAGTTGCTAGAGAGGACAAAATGCCTATTAGGCTTAAAAATTATTTCCAAAATTACAGATGTAATCCCTTTTAAAATATTTTGAACACCAAGAACTAGGACAAAATATGAAAATTCATGACTTCTGCCTATGTTTTTAGTCTGGAAAGTATCATTATTTGAATCTCACATAGTATCTTGAGCTGCAAATAAAGAAAACCAATAGTTATACATAGTCTTCAGCACCATTCATTCTGTTTTTGACCAAATGCCCTGTAATCCTTATGATTCCACACTTTAATATCTACCCTGAAATAACATTTATCTTTTTCAAAGTCCTCAACCATAAATCAACCATAATGGAAGCTCTTCTTGCTTTTATTGCAAGGATATATGCTGCAATCTTCGTGTCTAAAGTGTTTACCTGGCTTTTTCACAGCTGACTCAGTAGATTGGAACCTTTTAATGCAACCTGCATGGCATGTGGTCACCAAATCTATGTGAAGTCTTTATAATTTTTATATGATTGATAGCATATTGCTCTTCACTGGTGAGGGGAACCATATCTGCTTCCTGCTTATCTTTGTAGATGTAGGGTTACTTAATCCATGTACTTTCATGATTGGTACTTGAAATGTAGAAATATGAAGGAAAAGAGAAAAGCAACCAGGCTCAACAAGTCTGTGTTTGACTTTTAGGCCCAGACATTTTCCACTTATATTATGCTACATCCCAGAGTTGTAAAACCAAAGCTCCCTTTTCTGCAAAGTAACCCAGTTAATATGGAGAGATGAAGAATAAATTAACTAATTAATCAGTTATTTGATTAATCAAATGCCATGTCTTTAGGAGGGAAACTCCGTTTTTGGCTTTTATTATTTTTAATTGACAAATGATAATTTCATATATTTATGGAGTACCATGTGATATTTGATATAGGTATACACTGTGTAATGACCATTTAGGGTATCCATCACTGCAAACATTTATCATTTCTTTGTGTTGGGAACATTCAAAATCTGCTCTTTTAGCTACTTAAAAATATATAACCAGTTGTTCATTATAGTCACCTTATTAGTGCTACAGAACAGTACAACTTAATCCTCTTATCTGGCTATACTTTTGTATCCATTAACCAACCTTTGGAAAAGCTCCTTTCTTAAAAGCTTTGTAATTCCACAGTTTTCCAGAACTATAGTCCACGGCTGTCTTTAAGACCTCCATTCAACTCCTCATCCCTCATGATCCTATATTAGATACCGTTTTCCTCTGTGTTAAATGCATATGACTGTACTTCAAAACTTGCCCCAAAACTTCCCTCTTTCTATTTTTCATGACATTTCTCTCTAAAATGATAAATGTGAGCTTTTAAACTGTAGTGTTTTATCAATGCTGGGCATTATTACTAAACACAACTCAAGACCTTCTTCTAAGAAAACTTTCTGAGGTTACCTTTAGCTACGCATTCTTTAATTAATTCTGCTGATATTTCACCTGTAATCTATGTCAGACATACATATGTCTCAGAACCTCAGAGATGAATAAGATGAATGAGAAACTACTCCCTTAGGAATTTTATAATCTGCTTCCCAACCCTACTCTCTAAGTCTACTTCTCATCTTCTGAGTCTACCTGTTCACCATTTTAATTGTTGCTCTTGTTAACGGTTTCTCTTACTAATCATGAACTCCCAGGGATCATGTGCAAATGTTGTCGTTAGCCAAAAAATGTGGGTGGTGTCATGCTGATTCAAAACCATGGACTTCTGATAAGCAACTTAATCTCTAAGCTTCAGTTTTCTCATTTAAAATGCAAATTATACTTACTATACAATGTAGTTGTTACAAGTAAATGAGTTAATAATTTTAGTGTACAAAGGAGATAATAAATGGTTACTCTGTCATGTCACTTACTTGTCAATAACAGCTCCATTAACCTTTCATATTAAATATAAATGTTACACTCCGCTATTGGATGCCCTCAAGTAAGATCCTCCACCTGCTCTGTCAGCATTCTCTTACATATCCTCTACAAATTCTCTCTCTGAAATCAAAAGTTCTACTTCTTGAATATACCCTTCTCTTTTTACCATGAGGCAGACCAGTAGTTACTGCCATGTTTTGAGTGCCCATTGTGATTTAAGAAGGCGTTCTAGCCTGGGCCTGGTAGCACATGTCTATAATCCCAGCAGTTTGGGAGGCTGAGGCTAGCAGATCGCTTGAGCCCAGGAGTTCAAGGCCAGCCTGAGCAACTTGCAAAACCCTACTTCTACAAAAAATACAAAAAGTAGCCAGGCATGGTGGTGCACACCTACACTCCCAGCTACTTGGGAGGCTGAGGTGGGAGGATCAGTTGAGCTCAGGAGGTCAAGGCTGCAGTGAGCCAAGATCACACCACTGCACTCTAGCCTTGGTGACAGAGTGAGAACCTATCTCAACAACAACAAAAAGGTGTTTGGTGCTTACATATATTTTTGCTTATTGCCTAGTTTTAATGTAGTGGTTAAGAATACAGATCCAGAAAAAACAAATGTCGTATGTTCCCATTGATAAGTGGGAGCTAAGCTATGGGAACGCAAAGGCATGAGAATGATACAGTGGACTTTGGGGACTCAGGTAGAAGGAAGGTAGGTGGGGTGAAGGATAAAAGACTACATAATGGGTAGAGTGTACATTGCTTGGGTAATGGGTACACCAGAATCTCAGAAACTACCACTAAGGGACTTATTCATGTAACCAAAAACCACCTATTCCCCAAAAATTACTGAAACAAAAAAATAAAAAATACAATAAAATTTTCAAAAAGAGTACAGATCCAGAGTCCAACTTCTTGTTTATTTTCATACCTTGGCTGTGCAGTCTTCTAGCTGTGTGACAATGGACAAGTCACCTAAGCTCCCTAAAATTCAGTGTCCTCATCTATAAATAGAAATAATAACAGTAACTATTATAGTGCTGTGTGAGAATTAAAAATAATAACTTATGTAAAGCAGTTAACATAGTAACTCATAGTAAGCTCTTAAAAAATGTCAGCTGTTTTTATTACTAATGAACTTCTTGTCATTGTCTTCTCATTCAACTCTGCAAGGTCTTTTATAAATGGTGAAAAAAAGTGAAGTAGCTCTTTCAGATCAGCAACACAGCAAGTAATTGGCAAAGATGGGACTTGAAACCAGAACTGTCTAGTTCCAAAATCCCTATCTTTCCCACCACATTGTTGCCTTGTGCTAATCCCTCTACCTGAAAAGTATCCTTCCTTATGTCTAATTGGAATAATCTTTTGAAACCCGTATCAGGTGCTGCCTCCTTCACCAAACTCTCCTTGATCCCCATCTAAATATGATCCCTCCCTCAAAACCCTCAATTTGTCATTTTTACACAGCATTATGCTACAGTGACTTGCACACTAAACCATGAGTTCTTTGACACCAGAATGAGGTTAGACCACTGTTTCCTGTAAAACAGAGCACTTTGCACTAAGTAGATACTTACACTTTGCACTAAGTAGATACTTAATAAACAGTCACTTGAACTGAAAAGAGGTTGTTAAGGTCGCAGATGGGAAAATCTGCCTGATCAATCCAGGAATCATTTATTTATGTGTCTCTAGGCCAGACCCTATAATAGACACTGGGTTCAAAGAGTTATATAAGACAAATTCCTGGCCGGGTACGGTGACTCACACCTGTAATCCCAGCATTTTGGGAGGCCGAGGTGGGTGAATCACCTGAGGTCAGGAGTTCAAGATCAGTCTGGCCAACATGGAGGAACCCCATCTCTACTAGAAATACAAATATTAGCCGGGTGTGGTGGCGTGCACCTATAATCTCAGCTACTCAGGAGGCTGAAGCAGGAGAATCGCTTAAACCCAGGAGGCGGAGGTTGCAGTGAGCATCACGCCATTGCACTCTAGCCTGGGTGACAATAATGAAACTCTGTCTCAAAAAAACAAATTCCTGCCCTCAAAGAACTTGCAATTTGATAAAAGCACTTTGAAATCAGAAAGTAGTTATTTTTAATGGAGCCATTATGTAATCAAATGGAGCAAAAACTTAAGTAATGCAAATGAATTCTTATTTACTATTTGTACAGATACAGTTGTCTCCTCCAGCTGCTGTACCAGTTTAGACTACATCGTCACCTACCTCTTCAAGCACATAGCAAAAGAGGGCAAGAAGCCACTTCGATGCAGAGAGGCTACCCAGGCTGGTCAGAGACTATTACATTTTATGCAGCAAAACCCAGATGTCCTGCAGCAGGTAACTGGTGGTTGATCACCTAGCTTATGAAACAAATGTTCCCAGAAGCCATACCTGGCCCTGAATTTATCTTAGAGCAGCCGGTCTTGCTAAGACTTTTTACACTGGTTAAAAAATATATATATATATATATATGTATGTATATGTGTGTGTGTATACATATATGTATATATATAATAATGTAAATACATACATATATAAATACATATATATGTATGTGTCTGTATATATTATATAGTCTGGGAGTATTTTCCCTGAAAGTGGGGAAAAAACACAGGCCTTAGGATTGCCTACCCTCAAGAAATACCTGGGTTGTTCATCTCACCTCAGTGGAGCAAGAATTCAAAAAGAGGATAGTTTTTCCAGAGGCCTGAGAAAAATTAGACAAAACTGGAACTGGAAACAGTCAGCCCCTGATTTCTCTCCTGGTGTCTCTGATAATGTCATCTTAAGTTTGCCTTATGAATACTCCGGTATATTGGGAAACTGCAATTTGCTGGACTCCTGGTGTATGCCAGGCAGCTTGCTAGGAATTTCATTCATCATATCATAGTTGTTATTTTTGCCATTTTAAAATGAGAAATCTTGGTTCAGACAGGTTAGGTAATATGTTCAATAACATCTAACTAATAAGTAATAAAACCACAATTTGTTTATTTTCTAATGTATTTTCTAAGTAGCTAATGGGTTAGGTCCAAGTTTAATACCATTTTAAAAAACTCGCTTGTGCAAATAACAGTAACAGCATGCATAAGAAATGAATATTGCAAGGTGCAGTACCTGTAGTACCAGCTGCTCCAGAGGCAGAGGCAGGAGGATTGCTTGAGCCCAGAAGTTCAAGACCAGCCTGGGCAACATAGCAAGACCCCATCTCTAAATAAGATTTAGGCTGGGCACAGTGATCACGCCTGTAATCCCAGCACTTTGGGAGGCCAAGGCAGGCAGATCATGAGTTCAGGAGTTCAAGACCAGCTTGACTGATATGGTGAAACCCCGTCTCTACTAAAAATACAAAAATTAGCCTGGCGTGGTGGCACACACCTGTAGTCCCAGCTAGTCGGGAGGCTGAGGCAGAAGAATTGCTTGAACCCGGGAGGCAGAGGTTGCAGTGAGCCGAGATCACGCCACTGCACTCCAGCCTGACGAGAGAGCGAGACTCCATCTCAAAAAAAAAAAAAAGAAAGAAAATTTAAAAAAAATTTTTTTAAATGTACATGCCAAAAATATTTCAAAAAGAACAATACCATTTTTTATGGCTATGCCATCACTATATTTTCCTTCCTTTCTTTTTTTTTTTTTTTTTTTGTAGAGAAGGGGTTTTGCCACGTTGCCAGGCTAGTTGTTTTTTTGTTTGTTTTGTTTTGTTTTGTTTTGTTTTGTTTTTTTGAGATGGAGTCTGGCTCTGTCACCCAGGCTGGAGTGCAGTGGCCGGATCTCAGCTCACTGCAAGCTCCGCCTCCTGGGTTTACGCCATTCTCCTGCCTCAGCCTCCCGAGTAGCTGGGACTACAGGCGCCCGCCACCTCGCCCGGCTAGTTTTTTTTGTATTTTTAAGTAGAGACGGGGTTTCACCGTGTTAGCCAGGATGGTCTCGATCTCCTGACCTCGTGATCCGCCCGTCTCGGCCTCCCAAAGTGCTGGGATTACAGGCTTGAGCCACCGCGCCCGGCCCGCCAGGCTAGTTTTGAACTCCTGAGCACAAAGAGTCCTCCCACCTCAGCCTCCCAAGGTGCTGGGATTACAGGTGTGAGCCACTGCACCTAGCCCCATCACTATATTTTCTAATTCTACTTAATTTGGAAAGTATCTTCATCCTGTTTTCAGTTGTTTTCTTTTGCCAAATTACATCCATAATAGTTTGTAATTTGCAAATGTAAACACGTCAATAGTGTGTGGCTGTATGACCGTTAGGGAGCAAATAAGTTGCCTGCAATCATCAGAAAATGTCGGCCGGGTGCAGTGGCTCACGCCTGTAATATCAGCACTTTGGGAGGCCAAGGCAGGTGGATCATGAGGTAAGGAGTTCGAGACCAGCCTGGCCAATATGGTGAAACCCTGTCTCTACTAAAAATACAAAAATTAGCTGGGCATGGTGGTGTGTGCCTGTATTCCCAGCTATGTGGGAGGCTGAGGCAGGAGAATTGCTTGAACCTGGGAAGCAGAGGTTGCAGTGAGCGAGATCACACTACTGCACTCCGGCCTGGCAACAGAGCGAGCGTCCATCTCAAAAAAAAAAGAAAAAGAAAAAATGTCACTCTATATCAGTAAATGATGAAAACAGAATGAGACAGCTGTGAAAGAGGGTGCCTTCCTGGCTGTCATTTTTTGCTAATATTTAAATGAAATTATGTAAACTTTATTTGTGGTGATGTTTCAGTTAACCAGTTATTTTCCAGGGATAATGGGTGTCATTCATATTTTGTGTAACTAGGCAAAGGGCTGTAGACCTATAATTATTTGGTGTGACCCTGGAACTGTTACAACGTGTTGGTAATGTAAAGGAAAAAGGAAGGTATCTCACATTTAGTGAGAATGTATTATGTGCCAGGTGCAAGAGCTGTTAAGATTCATAAGACATAATTTATCTCCTTACAAAATTTCTTGCCATGGGACAAAGAGACAAGTAACTCACCAGTTATTTGATAATTTAATTAACATAGTGATGACAAAGAAAGTGAAATATAAGGGGAGGGAGTATTGTCGGAGAAGTCTCCTCATTTAGACCCCACAACAACCCCGAGAAGTGGGTATCAGCATCCCCATTTTACAGATGAATAAACTGAGGTACAGAGAGATCAGCTGGAAAGTGGTAGAGCTGGAATTTGAAGCAAGGTCTGTTTGACTCAAAAGCCCAAGTCCTTACTACTCACACAATTGATATTCAAGGTGAAGATAATATCTCTGCTTCACCTGGAGTGGCTTTTCAAAATACACGTGCTATCAAAATGTCAGTGCGTCTCTCCTCCCTCCCCAACCCACCCAAATGCAGTAGCCACTGGTACTGGTGGGACTGTATCACAGCACTCATGTGTTTTACATGGAGAAGGTTGAGGATCACTGACTTAGAGCATGTCCCCACCAAAAAAAATATATATATATATATATTCATGGATTGGCCAAGAATCAGACCCAGCCTTTACCCCACCATGGCAAGGGACAAGTCTGCCACCAAATCACTCCTACCAGCGCTCAGCCATAATCACGGTATTCTCCCATAAACTTTGGCAGGAACTTTTAAGTTGGTAGAAAATTTTAGCAAAAATCAATAGACTATGGCCCTAGACAAAATACCATATCAGATTTTGCAAAGCAAGTAATGTGGTTGAGCAGGAGACAAATCAAGTTTGTCTTTACTCAGAATTAGCATGCATTTGTTGGTTTAAGTAATTTCTGTGTGTTAATAATACTTGGTAATCCTTCACTTTATAGCATATGAGTAAGTAGTGATATATCTTTATTAACAGTGGAATACATTCTATTTATTTGGAATGTAGGCTTTCAGATAGCATTTTAAATATTAATGACTGGGCTCTGGTAGTCAGCATAAATATGATTTGCATTAGTACTAGGTTATATCATCTTGAGTGCCTCTGATGTCAGCTATTAGGTATAGTAATATCTGACATCATCTCCTTAGGTCACTGACAACTTTGACCTCTATTCTTATGCACAGTTTCTGTCGTCTCAAAAGCTCTTTTGAATTGATTTGAAATTTTGACTCTTCCCTTTATGAGGCAGTAAAATTGATAATTATTCAGATGGGAACAGAGCGCTGAGTGAAAAATCAATTCCACCCGCTCTCTGCTGCGTATAAAATTACTTCTGAGTCGGCTGGACTGAACGGATGGCCAGAGTAAAAGCAGCAGGCAGGAGCAGTGGGAAGAATTAGCTGGACAGAACGAATAGCCTGAAGGGATGGACTTGAAAAAGAGGGAGTGGGCCAGTTGGGGGTTATTATTAGCAGGGATGGGTCCCATTGATCATCTGTTTACATCAGCTTTCCAAGACCTTATAAATCAGCCCTGAAGAGCAACAGAACCCAAGATTCAGCCTGTCACCAGCGGGATCTTGTATTGGGTTATTTTCATTTTCACACGCAGATGAAAAGTGAGCCATTGATTATTCATTGGTTGCCCATTAAATGCTGTTTTTAATAGATGATTTGCCTATCACAGAAGGTAATGAACAAGGTTACTGCTTCATAACTTGAGGTTTCAGTTTTCAAGGCATCTGTGTCGGTTAAGTAATGCCTAACCCTATTAAAAGGAATGGATTACAAATTGCTTAACAGTTCTGAAAAACTAGACCCTAATGACTAATTGTGCTTGGAGTTTAGAGAGGGTTTGTCAGCTCTTTAAACTAAACTGATACAATGATACTGCAATTATTTACTAGTTTGAACTGTTTTTCCCCCCAACCTGGGCCTATTTTGCTGGAAGCATAATTGCATGAGGAATGTTAATTCCAAATTGCAAAAGTTATCTCCTCAAGCTTCCATAGTAAAGGAAGCATGAACCTACGTAAAGGTTTTCCAACATCCTTACAGGCCTTTCCATTTGTATATAGCAGCCTGGGAAAGATATTTTATGTGCCTCTCACCTGGAAATGTATTTATTATTCCCTGCTATGTGGCTTTAGAGCTTCAAAATTTTTAAAAATGTTCTCCAAATAAGCCATTTTTCATATTTTGCAAACAACTCTAACTTTGCAAGCATTAAAATTTAGTCCATATGAAGGTCCACTGTACGTGAATCTATTTGAAGTAAAAACAATTGCGTCACCAGCATTGCTTTGACCTAACAATTGAGAAAAACCCAGTTTACATAAATTAAGGTGGAAAATTCCCCAAGCATTTTTATGTTATTAGAAGGATAAACTAAAAATTTAAGGAGAGACCAACAGTAACAGTGATCAAATTACTAATTACTACCAATTCATAGCAGCTAAGACACTGATCTGCTACAATAATTTGGAAGACAACATTTCTTTGTGAAATTTTTT